GTTATGTTTAGGGTTAGGTGTGTACTGGTAATGGTTAGGTTTAGGGTAAAGGTCAGGGTCAGGCTATAGAAATTAATGAAAAATGAATGAAAGTCAATACAAAGTCCCCATAAAGATGGCAAAACAAACCTGTGTGTGTGTCTTCAGGGGACAGTGAGGTGTTGGTGGGGGAGTTCAGCTCTACCACCCAGCAGCTCCGACTGATGAACCACCTGCTAAAGTTCAAAGGTCAGAAATGTCTCCTGGTTTGATAAAAGTCCTACAGATGTTTGTTTGTTTGTTTGTTTGCTCACAACAGATTTGTGGGTGTGGACTCTAAACCCAGCTGACTCCTGATGGAACAAGCTGACTGAAACGGGTCAGCCCTCCTGCTGCCCTTGGGTCAGAGTGGCTCCTGGTACCTCAGATCTTAAACAGGGTCTAATTTTGACCCATGGGCAGCAGGAGGGAACCAGATAAATCTACTGAACCTGATGAGGCTCCTGAATGTCGCAGGTCCAGGCCCGGCTGCAGACCAGACTGTGGTCCTCCTGCAGCGCCGACCCGTCAGCCTCCTGCTCTACTCCGTCGTGTCTTCAGCTGCTGCCGGCACCATCTTCATCACTCTGCTCGTCCTCTGCTTCATCATCATCAACCACAGACGCTGGTAGAACCTGCAGACCCGCCTGAAGGTAACGTCTCAGTCCGACCCACACTCAGGTGTCCGTCTGTCTCCAGGCTGCTGAGGTCCGGTTCTGCCCAGGATTTGTTGCTCCTGCTGGGTCTCCTGCTCTCCTCCTCCTCGGTGCTCCTCTCTGGACTTGATGACGCCCGGCTGTCTGATGAAACATTCAACGTCCTCTGCTCCGTGAGTTCAGCAACACCACAAACTCTTCTCCTGACTGGACTGTCGTCCAGAACCAGAATTGGTCCTGTTTAATGTTCTGTTGGCTGACTGGTCTACAGGCCCGTCTGTGGACCCTTTCAGTGGGTCACTCTGTGGGCCTCGCAGTTCTGATCACCAGAACCTGGAGGATTTATTCTGTCTGCAGCATCGAGCCCAAGGTGACCCAACACGAGGAGGATCATGACTTTGATGTGTTTCTGATGTGGTTCTGATATGGTTCTGATTGATGTGGTTCTGATTGATGTGGTTCTGATGTGGTTCTGATTGATGTGGTTCTGATTGATGTGGTTCTGATGT